AGGGCCACTGTGAGTTGGCATCGACTTGATGGCAGTTTTTTTTTTAATCTTCCAAAAGTATTTTGGATTTACTTGTTAAGATGCTATAGAGCAATCCTGATCAAACTCAAGTGCTCGTGTGTGTGTATGTGTGTGTGTGTGTATGTGTGTGTGTGTGTGTGGCAGAATACTGAATTTCAAACCCTCATGGAACCCAGATTTTCTGGAGTCATGGAGGCTGGACCAGCCCTTGAAACTACAGTTTTGAGATAACCTTTAATCCTTAAACCCAAATCTGCCCTTCAAGTCTTCCTTAAACCAAACAATATGTTAGCCTATTCAGTAACAAGCATTGGCCTTGAGGAGCCCTGGTGGCAGAGTAGTTACACATTGGGTCAATAGCAAAATCAGCAGTTGAAAGCCACCAGCAGATCGGGCTTGCCACTCCCATAAAGAGTTACAGTCTCAGAAACTCACAGGGGCAGTTCTGCTGTCTTACAGCGTCCTTATGAGTTGGCATCAACTTGTTGGTGGTGAGTTGGTTTTGGTTTTATTGGCCTTGACCCTTGAGGTCTTCTGAAGAACTAACCCTATAGGGCCACTGACAGTAGCCACTCCTCAGGCCACTTAGGAAGCTCTGGGGGAACAGTCTGGAACAGAGGGAACACGGTGGTCATACAACTCGAAGAACTAAGTCAGCAGCTTGAATTGACCCTATAGACATCATCAAGTCGGAATATATGTTGCTGCGTGTACTTTCAACACTAATAATAATAATAATAATAAATGAACCACCACTAAAGAATTGGACAACAGCTCCTTGGCTGATACCCAAACCAAGTGTGATTGGGTGGGGACAGCGGTGGTTCCTGGGTCCCCAGGCCCTGGCAGGGTTTGCCAGTCACTCTTGGGTTCACATTTCCCCCTGCGTCAGCTCTGAGCCTGGCTGCCTTCCCCCGTCACCCTCACTTGGGCTACACTATGCAGAGAAATGGAGAACCTGCCGCAGCTTTCCAGAAAAGAGGAAGGTACAGCGGGCAACGTGGTTTAGGTGGGAGGGAGGGGGTCTAGGACCAGGGCCTGAAAAAGAGGAACACTGGCCAGGCAGGCTCCACCTGGAGGTTATCTTGCTGGTCTTCACCACAGCAGAGAAATTCGGGTCCAGGAAAGGTAGGGGTTCACCCACTTTCCTGGGAAGGAGTGTGCAAAGGGTGAGACTAGTAGACCTTGGGGCTGTAAACCTGGGGACCCTGGCTAGGCCAATTCTCTAGGGCTTCCCAGGAGTGGAGCTGCAGGGACAGTCAGGGGGCTGCTTCCCAGCAATGGGGGTAGGGTTCAGAGTGGTATAACCCACTGATGAGCCCACAGCGTCCTTACAAACTTTTGACCGCTGACCCCAAGCCTCTTCTTCCTGCTTCAGCCTGGGAGCCTCAGAAGGCTGCAAAGGGGCAGAGAAGGTCCTGATCAGTGAGAGGTTCTGAGCGTTTCTAGTCGGCCTACTGAGGGGCTGGCTCTAAAGGAAGGAGGGAAGTGGGTGGTATTATGGGCATGGGGAGAAGCGGGCTGGGCAGGGCTTAGGGAGGGTGTGGCTGCTGCAAGGTATTGGGGTGGGGCAGAACTTGGAGTTCAGAAGGCCTGCAAACCCTTTGTGGCCAGTCACCCAGGTATCACCTCTTTCCCCAGCAACTGTGACTCACAAAGCCACCTCCTGACACCACTCCTGTGGCCCCTCCTCCTTTCCATCGCCTAGCAGGCACAGGTCACAAGGGCCATGAGGGCCGTGCTGTGAGGGTGCACCCCGACCCTGCTCAGCACTAGGCCCTGCAACCACCCGCTGGCCCGGGCCTGGGTCTCTGGGGGGAACTCGGACCCTCCGACTTGGTGTGGGACTCCTGTGCAGCACCCTGAGCCTCAACGCCCATGTGTGTCATCTGCTTCGTGAAGGCGCTGGTACACGTGTTCAAGATCTACCTGACTGCCAACTACACCTACAACTTCCGGGGCTGGCCGGTGGACTTCCGCTGGGATGACCCGCACGCCGCCGGTGGGGGCGGCAGTGGGCACCGTGCGTTGACTTGCGCGGCGGCTGCAGCGGGCGTGTGGCTGCTGCAGGGTGCGGCTCTGGGAGAGGACACGCGGGAGCGGCCCCCACGAGCCACACGCAGCCAGGTGCAATGCCTCCTGCAGCAGATCCGCGAGCTGCCTGGCCAGCTGGCCAGCTACGTGCTGGCCCACTCGCTGGGCCGCTGGCTGGTGTACCCCGGCTCCATGGCACTCATGACGCGCGCGCTGCTGCCGCTGCTGCAGCAGGGCCAGGCGCGCCTTGTGGAGCGCTATCAAGGCCGGCGCGCCAAGCTGGTGGCCTGTGATGGCAACGAGATCGACACCATGTTCATGGATCGCCGCCAGCAGCTGGGCAGCCACGGTCGCGGCCTGCACCTTGTGATCTGCTGCGAAGGCAATGCAGGCTTCTACGAGATGGGCTGCCTGTCAGCGCCACTCGAGGCAGGCTACTCAGTGCTCGGCTGGAACCACCCAGGCTTCGGGGCCAGTACGGGCGCGCCCTTCCCGCAGCACGACGCCAACGCCATGGACGTGGTGGTCCAGTACGCATTGCACCGCCTGCACTTCCCGCCCGCGCGCGTGGTGGTCTACGGCTGGTCCATCGGCGGCTTCACGGCCACCTGGGCCACCATGACACACCCGGATCTGGGTGCGCTGGTGCTCGACGCCACCTTCGACGACCTGGTGCCGCTGGCGCTGAAGGTCATGCCCCACAGCTGGAAGGGGCTGGTGGTGCGCACCGTGCGCGAGCACTTCAACCTCAACGTGGCGGAGCAGCTGTGTTGCTACCCGGGGCCGGTGCTGCTCCTGCGGCGCACGCTGGATGACGTGATCAGCACGTCGGGCGCCCTGCGCCCCCTGCCGCCCGGCAACGTGCAGGGCAACCGCGGCAACGAGCTGCTGCTGCGCCTACTGCAGCACCGCTACCCCGCCGTGATGGCTCGCGAGGGCCGCACCGCAGTCACCCGCTGGCTGCGGGCCGGCAGCCTGGCGCAGGAGGCTGCCCTCTACGCACGCTACCGCGTGGACGACGAGTGGTGCCTGGCCCTGCTGCGCTCCTACCGATCGAGCTGCGAGGAACAGCTGGACGACCAGGAGGCCTGGGGGCCGCACGGGCTTGCCTTCCCCTGGCTCGTTGGCCAGGGTCTGAGCACGCGACGCCGCAGGCAGCTCGCGCTGTTCCTGGCTCGCAGGCACCTCAAGAACGTGGAGGCAACTCACTGCAGTCCGCTGGAACCGCAGGACTTTGAGCTGCCCTGGGCACTGTAGCCCGCTTCTCCAAGGCTCCCCTGTGCACACACTCCACGCGTGCCCTTTCTCACACTTCAGCGTGCCATAAAGATGGCGATACCTGCTGAGCCCAACAGGGATTTCTCTCAAGGAGGTGGACTGGGGTGGTGGTGGAGCGTGAACCGTACTCAGACCCCTGTGGGCCCTCCTTGGGTGGCCTTCTGCCCTCTCTTCTCTCCCTCCCTCCTGCAAATACTTTTGGACGTCCCAATTCTCGGCCATCACTAAAGGGAATGTAAAAATTACCCCGACCCGGTTTGTGGCAATACTGTGTGATGGGTGCTTTGATAATCACGAAAGGAAGGTGGGCACCTGGTTGAGGCTGCAGGACTCAGTTGCCCGCCAAGCCTCCCCAGGTGTGTGAGGAGCCTTTGCTCCCCACCTCTACAATGCTGACATCTGGGTTGAGTGTGTGGGATTAAAAAGAGACTTTTCCTCAGCTTTGTCTCCCCCAAAGACATGTCAAACATTAGGAGCTTTTTGCCAACTTAAGGTGGGAAGTCAGATGTTTAGAGACACCCTATGTAAAGGCAGTCAGTTGCCAGACAACTGTCTAGTCCCACCACAGGTAGGCCCCTCTCCCTGCTATTAAGGACAATGGGCTACTTCTCCCTAAAGGCTTGCAACCATTAGCTTGGTTTCTGTAGGTGGGGTTTACACCCTATTGATAATAGTCTCTATAGTGAGCCAGAGAACTGGTTAAACCAGCTCAGTGACATCTAAAGTTAGGCTGCCATCCTGAATCTAGGATCCGCCCATCTTGTCACATGTATATCCCCAATACCTCCTCTTCCTATTGCGTGGATATCCCAGATCACCCCCCCTCCCATTACTGTATTACCTATAGCACAACCCTTTCCTGTGACGTATGTCTTCACCTGTAATTAGTGGGCTTGCACGCCCCCCCCCCCCCAGATATATAGGCCTTGGTTAGCAATAAAGAGCTCTCTCGGGCTCCCCCTTGGCCTCTCGTCGGCTCCCCCTCTCCTCTCTATCCTCACTCCAATGTTCCCTTTCCCCTTGTTCTTCTTCCCCTCCCCCTATCTCCACGCGGATCACCAAGCAGAGCTGAGGTGAGCATGCTACCATGAAATGTGTCTGACTCCATTATTTCAATCTCTCTTTTATCTCTCATGCTTTCTATGACTTTACTATTATCTTTACTTATTATTGCTGTACAATTGAGCCTATTGAACCGGCGATTAGTTGTGGGGGGCTGGGCTTTCTCCCACAAAGGTGGGGGTGTCCCAGCTGTGCCATAGATTGGAGTGGCAAGGACACAAAATAGCAGGTCTGTACAGGGCTACGGACACACCTGCACTGACTACCTACCTATTCCTGGCACGGGGCTCTGACACCATCTGTGATTTACTTACTCTTCTCTGGTCCTGTCCTGTCCCTAGTCTTGGGCAGGCTGTGTAAGAGTTAGGGTTCAAAGACCCTAAAAAGGCCAGTGGTTCAGGCCTAGTATTGGGAGCAGCCCTTGCCCTGGGAGCAGAAGAGGCACCCACATGGCCTAGGGTACCAGGAAGACACCTGCTCAGAGGAGCTAGCCCGGTGAAGAGGGGTGGTGAGGTGGCTCTAATGTGCTATGGCCGTGCTGGAGCCTGCAGGACAGGGCCAACGTTTACCTTTAATCTGAATACCAGTAAGGGCTTTCTTCCAGAGCCAGTTTCCAACTCAGGAAGGACGCTTGGCTCAGGACAGCAGAGCCATGTTCTGTGAGGTGCCTCTCTTTGGCGTCAGTCTGTGAGCAAGCCCCTAACCAAAAGGGTGACTTGGGGCAAGTCTTTTCCTATGCCTCAGCTTCCTCACCCTTAATGTGGGGAGAGTGCCAGGCCCAGCTCAGGACTGCTGGGGATGGGAAGTTAGCCAACATTTGGGTGACCACCACAGACCTGGATGTCACAGGAGGGGGTGGCCTTGAAGTGTGTGTGTGTGCGCGCGCGCGCATAGGAACTGGGAAGCCACAAGCCAGGGTTCCAGCATGAACCTGTGGGCCTGGTAGAGGGGCACTGGCTAGAGGAATGCAGGGACCAGGAGGACTCCAGCCACCAGATTTGGGCAGCCGGGCGGGGGCGGGGGCGGGGGAGGCGGCGTAGAGAGCAGGTCTTTTTCTGTGAAACTCCCATACAATAAGTTCTTTAGAAATGCCCACTAAAGAAGAGGCCTCTAGGGGGCAGAGGCCGATCCTAAGGTGAGGAGGTGGAGCCTTGGAGGGATTTCCGGGAGTCTAAGTCCAAGTCTGGGTCCAGGTAGGTGCGTGCGCCTCCACGCTCCAGTTCAGTGGTATCTGGCTTCTGCAGAGTACATGTTTTCAAAGCTGTGATGTTGGACGCAGAGTGCCTCTGGGTGGGTTCCAACATCCAACTTTTCGGTCAGCAGTGAGGGCTTAGCTGTTTGTTACCCAAGCAGCGCCAGGGCTCCCCCCCCTCCTTTTTACCAGTCCCCTGGGATCTAGTCCTGAATGTTCGTAACGCCCTCTTCGCAGATCCTCCCATGCTCCTGCTTATTCGGGCGGCTCTACCTGCGCACCTGGCTGGTGAAGTCAGTCAAGGAGGGATTCCCTCAGATCCCGGCCTCATTTTCCAGCGTCGCCCACAGCTTCAGCCTGTCAGTGGAGCGATGAACATCGATCAGGCCAAAACGGTGCCCTTATTGGGCGGCTTCCACGGAGGGGTGGGACCAGGGTAGGGCACGTGTCCGGGCGGAAGTGGACCGGCGCGTCTCTGATTACGTAACTCAGCGGAGGCGGTTCCGCTGGTTGCGCGTACGCGGCGAGCAACTCTCGGCTCGCGCCCGCACCCCGACCTCGACGTCTGCTGCAGCCCGGCCGCCG